TATAATATGGTTTCGATGATGAGTTATGATAAAACGGCCAAAACCGCAAGTAAGAGCGTTATTCAGATCATACAAGATAATTATCCGGAATTTTTGGTAAACCTTTGTTTTCCATTTGATATTCAAGTTTAAACGTATGGAGTCACTTATCTATTATCTCAAAAAAATGCAGGCTGTGAAATTCTTTGTTAATGTCCCTTGGTGGGGCGACTTCATCTTTAAGTTTATCTCCATGTTTTTGTCGGAAGAAACCAAAAATAAATTTATCGTTGCTTCGCAAAGTAATGTTAAGGAGTGTATGACCGCTGCTATCGATGAAGGAAATTTGCCCGTAGCTTATGGGGGTCAGAGCATTGTGCCAGGATTTGAGGTCGAAGAAGTCAACGTTTAAAAATGGTTTCCTATAAAATGGTAGTACCATACTTTGAATTTCTAAATGTATAATTTAATTGCCGATTATATATCAGACTTACTTTGATAATTTATATCTGCTGTATCTGCTAGATGTATTTATTCGTTACCACGTATTACAGTAAAAAGTATTTAGGATGAGGTTGTGACTCCAACATGAAAATTGTATGCTAATCAAAAATGAAAAGATGGAATGACGCGAGCACATTATCATATTATTTTCGCTGTCCTGTGATGATAAATATCATATTCGTTGTTTTTGATAGGAGATTTTTAAAAATTAATACTGTATTTGTGGTTTTATATAAATTCCATATCCAATACGGTGATTTCCTCACGAAAATCGGTAAATTGTCGTACTTTCGTTCCGATACTATTATTAAAAGTAACGCGTATAAAGTTTTGCAAAATTTACGCAAATTGGGTTTGGAATATTAATTATTCAAAAGCATCTAGCTCGGATAAAGACAGGCTATTAGAGTACCTCACCGTAATCTGTTACAGTATCTTCCATATTATTTTTATACAGCAGCAAGATACTTGTCATTCGATTCCTTTTCTGAATAGAAATGGTAATTCTCCTAATAATGAATAAACAATGACCATTAAAACTGCGTCAATACGTCAAATAACTGATCATTTTACCCCATATTTCAAGGAGAAAGTTATACTAATCTCGTGACAGAAGTTTGCTAAATAAAAATTACTGTACTTCATTGGTAGTTATCCAAGATTACATTGTTTTTCTTGAACGTTCTCTTTAAAAGTTGAAAATCACATTTCACCTATTATTAGGAAACACGATTTCATTGATTAAAGCACGCATACAATGTATGTATATGCTTAATAAACTTTACTATCAGTTATTGTTGCTACCTGCCTATATACAGGGAAGGGGCATCGTATATTCATCGTATATTGACCAATCCTAACTATCTTGTCAAATTGGGATTAGTACTTTTTGAAGATGAGTGGTCATCTTACGTCAAACTCTTAAGGGAAATTTCTTGCGATGTAGGTAACAGTTGGTGGATTTATTATTTTCTCGATAAAATGTACCAGTCATTGTTGTATGTGAATTAATAAAAAATTTTTTTGAAATTCAAAAGAGTTTAAACATTTATAATCGAAACATTAGAAAATTTCGGAATACGATTTTTCGTGCTTTACACTATAAATAATTCCTTCCGCAAGATAATACGAACTTCGACCTAACAAATATGGTGAAAAAAATATTTCCGCATCTAACTTTAAAGAGAATAACAAAGTTCAATATTTCTGAAAAAAGGTGAAGTTTTTTTTTTTTTTTTTAGAATACAACTTATTGCATAAATTATAATTCTGTCCAATTCTCCATATTTGATTTGTACTCGTAATTAGTAAAATGTGATGGTTGATTACTGGTGTATTTTGCCTGAGGATGAATAGGCGATGGAATGAATATTTTCTTTCTTTTTTTTTTTTATCACGAACAGGCATTACTTTTATTAAAAGAAAGTTTATATCCATTACATTAAGAATATTTTACATGTAATGTAAATTAATCTTAACTTATTGCAATAACTAAGGTGACACATACAAACTCTAAGAACCCTCGTGGAGAAAGAGAAAAAAGGTAAATAATAACTAGCTACTAATTGTATTAAAACTGGTATGTGTGCTCACTAGGAGTGACCGTGATGATGGGTTGGCGTAGCTGAGAAAATCGGTTTTTATTTACACTCGGCCCGGGAACCAGCTTGTTGTCGTGATATGACCTGCGGGTCTTGTCCATATTGAGGGCCTTGTATGGAACGAATATTTTCTTTCTAAGCCTGCAATATTTTTTTCTTCAACTGGATTTGGACGAACGTTGTTACAAATGTCACGTGCAAAATACTTGTCGTGATTGAAAATGTCCACATCTTAATCTCAAAGCAATAAATATCAACTACCTAAGTATTATGGCTCAACCCTCAATTCCTCCAGTGGAAATACCCTATAAATTATGGTTATTTATTTGTCAGCTGGACTACTTCTGTATCCGATTCATTTTTCACCATGAGGATTACGTGACAAAGATTAGTTGGATCTAAACCGCCAGAAATTTCCCAAAGCATATCAACAATGTCTCTTCACACAAGGATTCCTATAACATCATAATATGATCGAGATATTGGTATAAATTTCTATTTTCGTAGAACCTCATTACAAACGCGTAACACCTCGTCGTGTCTCATACCATTCCAAAAAATCTGCGACTAAGCCGATTTGAATGCATCTGTAATGTTTTAGGATCTTATTATTTTGAGATATCGTGCAATTCAATGTTATTTAAGTAATAATATCAGGATACTAACAAAAAAATGTATATATTATTTGTTGCCTTGTTTAAATATCTTTGGTTATATTATGAAAATTATCAATTCTTTTTATAGGAATCATTTCTCGTCCGGTCTTCGCTTTCTTCATCGAGGTCCTTCAATCCAATATGAGAAATAAAAAGTACTAAATTATCACTTGCCTAATACTCGGTAAGAATAAGTTAATCCCACGAAATTCACTCAAGAATCTCATAGATTTAGTCCCTGTTTCCACTGGTATGTCACCTGGCGACTGGACTTTGCAAACCGCTTTAAAATTCTAAATAATTTTTTGTGCTGATTTCAGTTGTGATTTATTGTACTTAATTACTGCATACGGCATTTCTTCACTTTATAACAAAGTAATTAACAAATCACCTTCCATTATAGCGATTATGTACTACAGTACGTATAATAAATTAGTAATATACTGTATATATTTTTTTTCGTTCACAATGACATCTCATTGATATCACATATAATACATACTGTATACAGTATATATACAGTTTATGAACTTTTCCTTTCATTAGTATGCTTCTTTGTTGAGACATCTCATCATTTATTTACAGAAAAGGCATACTCCAAGATGCCCTGAGTTTAGCATGATTCTAAAGATTTTTTTTTTTCAATAATTGGTCACCGATATTGGAAGAATCTAACATCGTAATATAAATTTGTTGGCTCAGTAAATATCTTTATGATTATTCCCACCATCCACAAATTTTTTTAGGATTAACTTCCAAATACAATATTGTAACGGGTAAACGGCTAAAGGCTAACAGAGATTCGAGTAACCGTTACTGAAGTTTTTCAAGGACAGTAATAAGGCATTTTATTTGAACGAGTTCTCTCTCTCACACTCGTGTGTCCCTTTATTATCTTTTAGTATCTCTATTTTATACCTTTTTATGCGACTGGCATAAATACATCAAAATATAGTTAGTGTAATTTAATTAAGGTATTACATACTGTAAGTAGATCGCTGACGTGACCGCCAAAATCGTTTCACGGCGCGTATGGTTTCTCATACCCCTATTACCCTCCTATTGCGCCGTTTCCATTGTATGAGGCCACACCTCATGATGTCTGGTGTAGGTACGCTCCCTTACAATATAATAAGATACGGGTTCTTGGATTCATTTAAGGTTTTAGCTGCATAACTACTTTCATCTCTCTCCATCCTTCAATCCCGTCTCTATTGTTCTTGTTATGTGTCTTAGTTCATTTGGGTATGTTGTCGAATTGATTAATGGGTATGTATAACTTAAATAAAATAGCATCAAATCAAAAATGATTACGGATCTCTAAACTACCATGAATATTCATATATTTGTATTTTTTTTTTTTTGGCATTGTAATTGTATTTTGGATCATATTTATGTTCGAAACGGGTATAGCACACGTGGTTATCTTATTTTGAAAAACATGGACGTACATCGTGATTTGTCGCAATACTCGACGTGTAACAAATATCGCGAAAGATGCAAGGATTTTAGTAACACACCGAATAGCTAAAAATCATTAAAAAAAAACATATATAAACTACGCAACGATGTAATTCACCGGCTCTATCCCAGACATACAGTGTAAGGTCATTGAAGATCACAACCTTCTCGCATTGCTGTCGTAAATAAAAATGGTAACTGAAGTATACCCAGAAAACCCTACTATCAATGTAACTCTCCATTCCGCAAGTGGAAGCGATTATGGTGTATATACCCTTAACGGCACCATTGATGGTGCCCCCACACCATGTCCAGAAACCAGCCTATATATGATTGTATGTCTCGACAGTAAAGCACCGACTTCGGGTATTATCAAGGGATATGTCACCGGAAGAAGTTTGAACTTAATAGACATTGAAAATACGAGATATATCACCAGAAGAGGCCTTAGGATGCCAAGTCTCGTCGAAAATACAAGTCAATTCAATGATGAAAACTACTTCAATGAAGGAAGTTTAAACTCGAATCATATTAATGTAAGAGGTCTGGACTCATCAAGCTTCGTTAACGACACGGGTTATTTTGTCGAACAAGACTTGCATTCATTAAATTTTATTGACGAAAACGACATCATTGGGGAAAGCTTGAGATCGTTGGATGTAGCCGAAAACACAGATGTAGCGAAAGACACGAGTCACATCATTGGAGAAAGCTTGAGCTTGTTGAGTGTAGATAAAGACACGGGACACATTATTCGAGAAAGCTTGAGCTCGCCGGGCGCAGCAGAAAACACGGATCACATCAGTTTAACCTTTTTAAATCAATATTATGTGGTTTACCGTATTGATGATAGCAACAAACTTACCTCTGTCCATTTAATTAACAAAGAAGTCTTAAATATGCCAAATATTTGTAAACTCGTTCAGAAACGCATATGTCTTCAATACAGAATATTGTTTAATTATCCGAGCCAGTTAAAAAACCACATACAGCCTCAGTCCGGTGAAACACGTGAGTCTATGATTTTTTCCTCGCTGATTAAGAGCCGTCTTAAAAGTTTAATGAACATTTGGTTTATTCTCTAGTGTACTGCCGATACAAAGACTGCAAAACATCCTTTACATTAGAAACAAATAGACGACGTCACGAAAAAAATATGCATGGCTATGTTCATCCCAAACGAAAAAAATGTGAGTCCATGATTTTTTTCCTCGCTAAAAGGCTTGACGAAAAATTGATCTAAAGACTGTGAAACATCTTTTACATTAGACGTAAATAGACAACGTCACAAAAAAAGATGCATGGATATGTTCACCCAAACGAAAATTTGATCTAAAGACTGTGAAACATCTTTTACATTAGATGTAAATAGACGACGTCACATAAAAGAGATGCATGGATATGTTCACTCAAACGAAAAACTCATCATTCTTTTTCGTTCAACTTAAAATGGCTAACCATTTTTTTATCTCCTCCTTATACTGTAATTTTTTTTGTTCAAATATAATAAATAAAAAACTTATTACTTTCTCCGTGTAGTTTAACTGCTTGTCTTCACTGTTGGAAATTCATCGAAAATTAACAGAAATTGTATATCGAGGAAAACTAAAAATTAGACGAGACCGCGTGGATGCCGGTAGAATATATAACATTTGGGTGATTACGGTATTTATTTGTCATAGATACTTTTTAAACATTCATTGATTTTTCTGCCCATAAATATTGTTCCATTTGTGCTTATTGTCTCCAAACCTAATCATTTTGTTTGCTTCAACACATTCGACGGAGTTTGGTCTAATTTTGTTTGTTAAAAATTTAATCAGTAATGTTGTGTAGCTGCATATGCAGTACTATTTTAGTACAAAGAATAGAAATTTCAATCAACAAATTAACGACAAAATTAAAATCTTGGTTTTCGAATGATAATAGAATGTTTATGATAGAATCTTCCTACAAAATAAAAATACTCATTTCACGTGGATACGTGAAAAGAAAAGACACGAGTATAAGACAAATGCTGTATATCAAATACACATATTAACGTACCTTTGAAATATATATATCTATATATGATTTTACACAAACAATTTCAATGTCTATTTTACCTTATTTTTAATTTTAAAAAACAATCTTTTACAATTATTATTTATACGTTGTCAAAATTACAAACTAAAGGTTTATTCTATTTTTTTCTTCAATCATATAAACATCAAAACATTTTATTATTATTTATTGAACCGTGAAACAAATATTCATTAATAATTTAAAAAAGCGAAAAAACAATTATTCTTAATAAGGTTCACCTAAAATTTATTGTAAAATTGAAAATTAAAATGAAAAATTTTTTAGTTAAATTATCACTATATATACTTTGGACTTTTGCAATATTAAATTAAAAATATTCTAAAATAAAAGTTTTTTAAATATCGATTTTTTCAAATATTATTAAAACACATCATTATCATAATTAATGTAAATAAATCCTGCTTTTTTAAAAAAAATCAAAAATTATCAAAACATTTTCTTGAATAATTTTATCAGTTTATTTTTAAAAAATTTTCTTATAATAAACTTTATATTGATAATAGTAGTATTTAAAGAAAATAACAAAATTTAATATATAATTTATTGTATAAATTATAGTTTTTATTAATTCTTTAAAAAATACACTAGTTTGTAGTTAATATATTTATCTAAAGATAAATAAATAACAAAGCAATATTTTGTTTTTAAATTTGTAAATTTTTTTAATTACATTAAATTAATCTAAATTTTTTAAACTTTAAACTGAAAATAAAACAAATAATTAAGTTTATAATACTATCCTTTTGTATAATGTTAAACCTAAACATTTAATTTTATCAAAATAAAAAATTTCATATTAAAAATAATTTATATATATTAAATTATTAATAATAAACTTATAATATTTTTATCTACCAAATAACTTTATTTAAAATTAGAAAAAAGATTTTAATTATTAATTTTGTAATAATTCAAAATTTTGTTAAATGTTTTTATTTATTCAATCAAATAAGATAATATTATATCATATAATTATATAAAAATTCTTAAAATTTAAATATAAAAAATTAAAAAAAACATATAACAAATAATTATTTATTTATTAATTTTTTTTTTTTTTTTAGTAGGTAAATATCATTTCTTTATTTATTTGTATATAACAAGATATACATCATAAAAAAACAATATCTCTCATATGTTGATACAATGAGTTAAATGTTAGCTTGCCTACAGTAACCATATGATTAATATTGAAAAGAAAGTTTAAAACAATATATCTTGCCATATGACATCGAGCAGCTATGAATACCTACTCAGTATTAAAGGGAATAATGTTTGAAAGAGATAATGTTAATTTTTGAATACATTTGTTGTAATTATAATTACATCGAATAAAAGAGTTAATAATGATTGTAGATAAGCCTATAATGATTTTATTTTGGATATCATTAGAATATAAGCTTCTGCTCAAAATAAAGTAATTTCTTTTAGTTTGACTAGATTGATAGTGTTCAGTAGTTCACTTGATTTCCATTTGATACCTGTAAGAGGTAAGGTGTTGGTAATGTTGCATTGTGATTTTCAGATTAAGTTATATAATTGGGTTAGAGATTTGGTTGATACCTTGATTCAGTTAGTGATGTCTGTTGTTAAAAAAATTCTATCAGTTATGTCACATGACAGTTCAACAGTTTTTCATATGTAAGAAATCAGTTTGAGATTGTTATCTGAATGTCTTCAGTGCAAAGTTCGCATCTTGAACAATACCTATTTAAATATTGATCTGAGTAATATTGGTGAAGTATTTGACAAGTTGGGAGTGTTTCTGATAGGAGTTTAATCCTAAATGATATTAGATTGCTGTAGCTGTTGTTGCATACCTTTTCGATGTTTCTATTAGATTAATTGATGATTTTTAAGCCATGTGAAGTATAACGCCATTCAAAAGTTTGGAGAATTGAGATACTTTCACAAATCATATAATCTCTGATAATGCTGAAATTTTTTTTACACTATTTGACACTGCTGTCTAAATATGTGTTGTTGATTAGAGAGCTCTTCGCGAAGTGTGGTAAACAGTTGCTCCATTGAATTATCTTGTTTGTAAATGGTCTGGACTTAGGTTTGGTATATATAACTTCTATTGATTTCTGTTTCAAGACTTAGTTTATTTTCTGGATTAGGGAGGAAAAGTTAATCTTAACCATTCTTCTCAGATGAGTTGATACTGGTTGAATGATTTTTTTGTTATTTCTAATTTCAATGATATTGTATATGTTGTATTGAGAGCTCCACTGAATGATGTTAAGTATTGCTAGTAAAATATTGCCAGGAGCTAAACAGGTACTAAAAAGTTCTATCTTGCACTCATTGATAACTAAGTAGCTTTTATGAAATTGAATATAATAGTATTGGTAATGTCTCACTTCTTGAAGTAATGCACTGAGAGATGTGTTGTTGTTAATATTAATTGATTGGAGAGTTTGTTCGCTCCTGCTATACATGTGGCATAAATTATTTTCTGTTGACTCAATTCCCAAAATCCTCAAAAATAATTGCGCCATAACTCAATTATTTATATGTTTTAATAGTGACTCAAATAATTGCGTCAAATAATTGTGTCAATTGCGTCAAGGATCTATGAATTTCAGCAACATGTATAGCTTCTGCATTATGAATTAATAGTTTCATTGATAATGTTTAGTAGTCAGTATTTGTTGGTACTGAATAGATTAAGAGATATCCATAAAGTAGATACTGTTGAGCTTGTGAATGTTATTCAACAAAAGCCATAGGATTATATACTGGCTAGGCATTCTGAACACCTGAAAAGATTATTAGTTAGATCTACTGTAAAGTGTTTTCTCTTAAGCATCATTTTTTCTTGCACTAATAATCATCTCTTGTGGATTTTAACTATTGTATTCAAACTATGTATGAATCAATATGTTGCTTTGGGATTTGATATTGGACTGTATGATCCTATAAGATTCTTATTGTTTGCAAAGGTTTTGAACCAATTTGGTTCTGGACTGAGACAAATTATTCCCATATATGAGACAAGTTGATGCCATATAAGTTTGATAGTACTACTAAACTTCAATAGTTAATTAGTAAACTTCAAATTAAGTGCTGTTGGCAGGGAAATTGCATGAGGCATGGGCATGATATGCAATCTGGTGCATCATGTACCCTGAAAATTGGAAATAATTAGTGGGTTGCATAGGCGATAATAAAATAATTAGAGTTTAAAATAGACTTTCCATAAGGATAGTCTATCAATAGTTTAATTTCTTTGTTATCTTTCGATATAAATAGAAGAGAGAATTGTAGAAAATAGAAGTAGTACATAGTACGAAGTATGAAAAATATAAAGAAAACAGTTCATTAATTAAAACCTTCTTAATTAGAACATGTGATAGTCATTGCCAAAAGGAGTAAAAAAACTAATTAATTTACCTAATCTAATACTTGTTGCAGATAGGATGCTTGGAACTACAAAGGGAAAAGTGGTAAAGATCCATCAAGAGAAGCAACAACAGAAAGAGAAGGAAAGAGTTAGTGGAACTTGGCTAAACAATCCACACACCTTGAGTAGAGAAGCCAAACACTTACTGACATTATATAAGGAGTGTTCTGAAGAAGCGACAGACTCGTCGAAAAAGATGTCAACAGTGAGTTTGTTGTGTTTATTGTTGTTTTTTTGGATTGGGGTTGTAGACCTGTGAATAGGAAGCCAATTGAATTCTTTATATTATCCCAGTGGAATGTACACTCTGCTGGGCATATGTGAATCTTAAGATCTTTGGCTACTCTTGCTGCATAAAGAATCTAATTGTCTTGATTAAATCTTTCTAGGTCGCATATAGGGCAGAACCATATTGCCTCTTTTATTTGGATGGACCAAATGTCTTGTATAGTGTATTTTCTAATGGATGGAATGGCAAGTTTGAATATAAGATTTCCTACCAATATGGTTTTTTGCCTTTCTTCTATTACTGATATATTGAGACCACTTCAGCTAGTTAGTATTATGTTGAAACATTTGAAAGAGATTCTG